ATTAGCCCTGAGCTAACATCTGTTGCCAGTCCTCCTTTTGCTGAGGAAGGCTGGCCCTGGGCTAACATCCATGCCCATCTTCCTCTACTTTATATGGGATTCCACTACAGCATGGCTTGACAAGCGGTGCGTCGGTGCGCACCTGGGATCCCAACCTGCAAACCCCGGGCTGCCAAAGCGGAGCGCACACACTTAACCGCTGCACCACCGGGCAGGCCCTTAAAATTATATTTTTAATTTTAACTATAAGTAACATTGAAAGAAAGTGGAAAGAAACAAACCCATAATCCTCCATTCTAACGCTACTATTTTTGCTTTTGGTATGCTTTTCCCAGTCTTTGACCACATGAATACATATTTTTTGATAGTTTTTATGCAATTTTGAATTACCTTTTTAAGTATCATTAGTCTTATGACAAATACAATATGTATTATTTATGGGACGTTTCAAAATACAAATAAGAACAAAAGAAACAAATAAAATCCACCTATAATTTTATTACCTATTTTATGATTTTGAGGTAAATCCTTTGAGTATCCCCAAATGGGATCATGTTGTATAATATTTTGTGATCTACTTTTTTCTACTTATTAATATACTATGAATATTTTCTATATTCTTCTCTAACATTATTTCTAACAAATTTAAATTTTATTTTATGGTTATAGCATAGTTACTCAAATCTCTCTTTTTTGGGCCATTATGAATAATATTTAATTGAACTCCCTTGTTGTAAGCATTTTGGAAAGTCCACAGAAATTTCCTTAGAATAAATTCCTAGTGTGAGGTCACTCATATCCCTTTAGTCAACTTTAATTTGCTGCTTTCTGAGAGCAATCCCTGAGGAAAGCTGCTTTTAGCAAATGTATAAAGAGACGCAAAAACCCCCCAAACAAACACAAACAAAACAAGAACTGAACAAAGAAACTGTATGTTTGCTTACTTTGCCGTTGGTGCCCATTTTTCTTTCGGAAACTTGCCTTGGGCGTTTCTCTCTGATTTATGAACCTCTTCCACTTCTGTCCAGCGTGCTCTGAGTCTTGTAACGAACTGTCTGAATAAATACTATTCCTGCCCTTTCATTCTCCAATCACTTTCTCTCCTTTCTTGTTGCTTGTGATCTCCAGCTCTGCCCATCTCTCACCACGTCATTTGTGCCATTATATTGCAGCTGCAAACCCCCGTTGCTCTCAGTTGTTATTTGGGGAAGATTTTTGCTTACTCATTTTTTTCCCTTTTATTGCAAAATATAAGAGAGAAAAGTTCATTAAACTTTGATGAACTAACTAGATGAGTTAACACAAAATTAAAAAATAAAGGACATTTCCACCGGCTCAGAATCCTTCCTGTATCTATTCTTCTTCTTCACAACCCTAATCATTTCCTTGCATTTCTCTTATGCTTGTGTATCCAGTACAGTGTAGTTTTACCTACCCCAAAACTTTATATGAATGGAATCATAGTGTATGGTTCTTTCATGTCTTTTCTTCCTTTCAACTCTATGTTTGTGAGATTCACCTACATTGCCTGTGGCTGTTCGTTTATTTTCATTATCATTCATTTTCCTTTATCCTGTTTTTTTGTTTGCTTGTTGTTTGTTTTTCTGCTTATGGTGAATCAGTGGTTCCATAAAAATTCTTTTCATGTATACTACTGTGCACATGCTTGAGTTGCCTTAGGGAAAGTTCAGCACTAATATGCAGCCACTACACACTATTAAGGTGATGTTAACTTGTTACTGGGCACAATCACAGGTTCTTTACCCACCACACAAGAGGGGCCAAATAAAACTGGAGTGCCAGGCTTACGGCAAGGAAAGCATTTTTATTTCGGGTGATGTCAGCCGGGAGATGAGAGTGAGCCCTCAAATTCATCCTGTCTCCCCGAAGGATAGGAGGCAAGGGGTTTTAAATGTTGTGAGGGAGAGCGTGTGCTGGGGTTTTAGGTAGGGGAGGGGGAGCATGTGGCTGTGCTGGTTGGCACCTTCCCACCAACCTGTGTTTGACCTTGAAGACTGAATTTATTTTCCCTGACTCTCTGGACTTTTCCAGTTAGCTTTTATCTTCAGCCTGTGTTTGGCCTTGTGAGGCTGAATCTTGATGTCTGGACCTTGATTTCCTGGGAAAGATAGGTCACTCATATACCGAGGAGGGACAGAAAGACCTGGTTAGTTTTAAACAACAGTTGATGATGCTGAATGTGCACAGCTGCAGTTAGCAAAGCTTATCTCAAAGTTTTTGTCTCTTCTTCTAGGGAAGATTTTTTTAACCTCTTCGTGCTTGGTTTCAAACCGTTAAAATACTTTTGTTCTGGTTGGTAAAAAGCCTCTGCTCCAAACTCCTAAATTCCCTTTCAACTCTGTCCCAACCCTGGGGAGTCCTATTTAGTCACTGCTGAGGGACTACTTTCATGCCCCTTGGGTTGTGTGTGTCCATCACCCAGCCCTCGATGGCTCTGGGTCTCTGGCTGTGCCCAGTATAGAGCAGTCCCTGGACACAGGTAGGCAAGACCTAGTCCCCATCTGACCTTCTGGGGCTGTGACCACTTGTGCTGTGGCCAGGAGCTCCCTGAAGTCACACTTGCGTGGCTGTTTGTGGGACATGGAGTGTCTCATATTGGTTGTTAAATATTTTGACTAGGAGTGGAATTGCCAACTCTTCAACTTTGGTTGATAAGGTCAAAGAGTTTTACAAAGTGGCTGCACCTACCAGCAGCAATGTCTGAGAGTTCCCATTGCTCCACATCCCCGTCTGTGCTTGGAATTGCCAGACTTTAAAACTTTTGATAATCTCTGGGTGTATAATGTTATGTAATTGTGTTTTTAATTTGTATTTTTCTGATTATTAATGAGGATAAGCACCAGTGATGTACTGGAGCCCTCTCATACTGATTTTTGGTCTGCTTATTCTGTTAACAACTGAGAGATGTTTAAAAATTGTTATTATGAATTTGTTCATTTCTCAGAGTTCTTTTCTTACTTTTTGCTTTACATATTTTGAGACCTGATATTAGTGCATGCAAGTGTTCTGTGTTGTATGTCTTTTGCAAAGTTTAACAACATATTTTACCTTCTTTCTCTGTCAGTATGTTTTCTTTATCTATATCATTTCTTTTAATGGTCCCGTAGTATTCCACTATCTCCTCCAGATTTTAACTAATGTTTTATTGTTGAATGTTTAAGTTGTTCTATTACACTTTTGAAATTATACTTTATGCTCTTTGCTTCCACTTTCTTACTACGCACATTTCACTTCTTAACTTACCTGGTTTCCATCTTTATCTTTTTTTTTTTTTTTTTTTTG